TAATCAAACCATTTCAGAGGTTATAGCCTGTATAACCTCTTCAATGCTATAACATAACACAAGAGTTTGAAATGGAACAGGAATTAATAGTAGAAGTCACTAATGGAATCCCGAAATTAAGTTATCAATTAGCTACATGTAAATTTAACTACCTTCAAGTTGCAGACTAACCTTCAGGTTAGAAACATGCCGAAATCTCTTCACGTGCGCGGATGTTCCGCACATTTTTCAATAGACCTCCGAAAAAAATTGGACACCTATGAATCTAATCGAATCTAACTTTAAATTAGTCGCAGTTTATATGAACTGTGCTTTAGTTCGTTAAACTGACGTTTTGCACATTTCTCGAAGTTTTCAGAAACATTATCTCGAAACGAGTGTAAGTGGTAGCATAGCCTATGTTATGATGTTGGCTGTAAGCTGCTAAGTGAAGTCTTAACGTATTTATGTCACATAGCATATGATTTTTCGTGCATTCATGAAGTAATCATGACATTTATGATGAACATAAACATAATTTTGCATAGCTTTTGAAAAAGTTGAAAACGACCCTCTTCCATCAGAACTCTTCATCTCACCCCCTCTCAAAAATCAGATATTTCTATGCTGTGTACACGTACAGTTCAACACGATTTCTGACGTGGTTAACATGGAAAATATACATCTGCCCACATGTTGTTTGACTCACCAAGGCCATCTAACTGACCTCATAATGACTTGTTATCCTTTTGTAAATTTAGAAAAGATACCCATCCTTTTTTCATTATGCTTCGGTAACATATCTAGGAACCAGCGAAGAACTATCAGCAACGTGCATTCCACTTTGTTTTTCAGGCTATATTATTGAAGTTTATGACAGTCTGAATAAATCTTACCTTCGAATAGACGGAAATTCTGATAACTAATGATTACAATATGTTGTTTGGCCATTTTATTTATTATATTTATCAGTTCTTATCATTCAGCAAATACTGCAGTTAGTTCAAGATTCTCTCACACAGACTCCATTTTCATTGAAACCAATCCCTTTGCTGATTCCCGTGGGGAGGGCGATGTAGGACATAAGATCTCATGAAAGTAATGACACAGAATATTCCACCTCCCTTTATAATCTCTAACTTTAGAGGTCTAAGATAGTTGCCTCTTGGTGTCTGGATTATTTTGAGGCAGCAGATTCATGTAAACATGTCCCAAATCAGATGTGTGATACTTTTTCTTGCGGTATTGTGGGAGTGTTAGAGGCAGTTTGGACTCCACGGCAGGTTACAAAGGTAACATATTTTCCAAAATTATTAAGCTCCAGCTTTCTTCATTTAAAGTTTGATTCTAAGCTTAAATAATTAAGGCCGCCGTATAAGCCCAAGGTATGCGGCCAGAAATCGTCATCGCTTGCGTATATTGTCATGTTACGCTCGACTATGTCTGCGCTATTTGTCTGTCTAAGCCAGCGTCTCTACCCGGTGGTACGCATGCGCAAACACATTTCGTATTTTGAGAGGTCTATCTGTTTTGACTTGGCTCACTAATTGTTCCCCAGTGCACGTCAAATAAGTACATAGGGGCCGACGGCTTAAAAATGCGTATTATAGAATTGTCTTGTCCCTATTTCTTCTTGAATCCCTTGTCTACTAATGGATGGTCCTGCCAAAGGAACTGGTCTAACAGGGTGGATGGCCACATAGCAATCCTGCGCTTAATTCTAGGGAAACAAAGTTGAATTCCTTCAAGTGACACAAGTAAATAGCTTCCCGAAACTGAATATATGCAATGCAGATCAGTTTACCCACTTGTGGAAAAGCGGAATTCGATCATCTCATTGAACAAATTCAGCTACAAATATTTGTCCGGTATGAAGAAATGTAGACTACAGGAAACTTATTTTAGGAGGAATGATATCCCTAGTCAGATTCAGATTTATTGGTTGAGGATAGAAGGCTTGGAGCCTATGTTAATCCTTTTCTAGTAGATTTCTGTGATTGTCCAAACTCTTCTTGAACGAATCAGTCGAGGTTGCAGACACCACTTCTTCTGGGAGTCGGTTCCAAGAGTTTATGTCTCGATGTGAGAACCAGTACTCAACAGCAATATGATTTCTTCTTGGCTTTTGAACTCTCCTGCTATGTCCTCTAAGGTGTTCCGACCTGGTGGGAAGGAAAAGAGAGAATAGGTCAGGTCCGTAGTCATTATTTAAAATTTTAAACATTGTGATTAAATCTCCTCTCTGCCTACGGTATGACAGTCAGAAGAGATTTAAACTGTCTAGTCTTTCCTCGTATGATAAGTTAGTCATTCCGAGAACCATACGTGTTGCCTTCCTTTGAACCCTTTCTAGAATGTGTGAGTGCCCTTTTAGACAAGGGCTGGCGGCCTGGATGCAGTTTTCCAGTCTTGACCTCACCAGAGATGTATATAAGCAGGTGAACATATCTGTGGTGATTCTAGTGAAGGCTCTACAAATTGCCCATAATGACCTGAAACTGCGTGCAGCCACTGAGCGACAGTGTGCTGTAGTTTTTAAGTCACGGCTAACTATGACACCTAAGTCCAAGTGAGTCTGAACTGATGGAAGTGTAATTCCCTCTAGTTCGTAGGAGCTCGTGCTTGCTTGTCCAATGCGCATGGCTGCACATTTTGCCACATTTATCGGTAGCATCCATTCTATGGACCCCTCTGACAATTTGTTGAGGTCCTCTTGCAACGTGGACGTGTCACTGTTGCCCTTCATCTCTCTCCAAATTTTTAAGTCATCTGCGTATAGGACCATAGGGGAGTCGGTGAGCAGAGATAATTCATTGATATACAAAATAAATAGGAGAGGTCCGAGTACGTGCCTTGTGGCACTCCGCAGCGTACTGCTGTCCAAGGGGAGAGTTTGGAGTTGATCCTAACCGTCTACCTCCTGTCTATGAGGAATTCCCTGAGCCAGTTTAGTAATCTGCCTTTGATACCAAGACTTTCCAACTTCATGAATGGTCTTTTGTGAGGTACTTTATCAAAAGCTATGTTGAAGTCTGTGAAGACGACGTCAACGGGTCTTCTGTTGTCCCTGGATTTGACCCGGCTTTCACTTGCAGTGAGAAGATTTGACAGGCATGAGAGGTTCCTTCGGAAGCCATGCTGTGCTCTTGATAACAAGCTTCTATTTTCTAGATATGCCATTATTCTTTTCTTGGTGATTCTTTCCAGTGTCTTGATTAAGGTGCTGGTGAGACTAATAGGCCTGTAATTTGAAGGGCTTTGTCTTGATCCTCCTTTGTGGATGGGGGTTACTATGGCGTCTTTCCAGTCACGCGGTAACACTCCATTTTGGAGAGAAAGCTTGAAGATCGTAGTCAAAGAGCCGGCTATGTGGGCTGATAGCTCCTTGAGAAGCCTTGGATGAAGATTATTAGGACCCATTGATTTCCTTGCATCTAGTTTCCTTAGGCAGTTGAGCACGATGCCTTGGTCAATGTCAACGGAATCTATCCCATGTTCTTCTGATGCAGCCAGAGCTGATCCTGTAGGCAGTGACGACTCCTGAGTGAAGACTTGGGAGAAGTAGTCTGGCATTGCTTCTGCTTTTTCTTGATCTTCCTCGATTGTATCATTGTCAATAGTCAGGTTTGGGACACCATTGGATGTTTTATTCATGAAGTTCATGTACGAGAAAATTTTCTTAGGTTGTGCCTTTGCATTTTGAGCCAGGTGTGCTTCGAATTTCATCCTTGATTGGCGGATTTCTGCAATAGCTTTATTTCTAGCAGTGTTATATAATTGCCTGGTCTCAGAAGTCTCAAGTGTGACAAACAAGTTCCAACATTTGTGTTTACGTCTGAGTAACTTACGAATCTCTCGGTTTATCCAAGGAGGGTAATGTTTAATGGCTTGTAAAAGTTGTTTTAATGAAGCACTTTGAGACGGCCGAAAAGAAACGTACATAGCAGAACTCATCGTTTAAACTATATGGAGTTTATGAAATACTATCTCTGACACTCACAAAACAACAGATGAAGCATCTCGTACTTCACTGCTGTGCGTAAAATTTATGTGGAGTATGCGCTACTAACACGTAGTAAGCACTTAATCCTGGATTGATAAAACTCAGCTTTTGCCACCCTGGTAAAGGCGACACCTCAAATCTCTGCGTTTTGAACCTCCCGATATCAACAGCAAGTGAGCAAGCTGTATCAACTTTATTCCGTTCCTTACTGTTTCAGTCATTTAACTTCGCCTCACCTACTTATTCTGGTGTCTGATTGGCTTTCCACTTACTGGCATGAGGACTTTCAGCGTGTGACTACTGTAAAGTGATTTTGGCTGTCTTGAATCGCGGTGGTATATTCACTGGTGAAGCATAAATTCAGACGCTAGATGTAATCACTCCAGGAAATGAATGAAATAGGCGGAGGACAGTGTGTCTGTCAGTATTCTGCGTAACCTGGTTCTTTTGAGAAACTCAGGTTAGGAAAAGAGAAACAATAAAGAAGAATGCTTCAATTAATGTATTACACGAGAAGAGGTTTTGTCAGATCTCAATGATCACATCTCGATGAAATCAAAACAAAATGCAGGAACGTCAGTGCATCTGCCGAATAATGACAGTGCTGCCTGCCCACCACATAGACACAAAATAAGACACCACGCAGTGAAAGGTAATTGCCTAGTCGCAGTTGTTTAATGCTTTGTAGGCGAATTTTTATCAACGAAAATCAAGTCATGAAACAGATAGTTCTGACAGACAGTGGCTCTGGACTTAATTTCAGAACTACACTCAGAATTTTTCTTCAGTCTATGTTGCGGCATTTCTGACTCTGAAGTTATTGGGGTGGGGCAAAGTTAATCTATAGTGACCCAAAGAACGAGGACTCATGATTGAGCTTGAAGCTACCACTAATAAAAACTAGTGGTTTTCACATTAAAATAACTTTTGTTAACAAGCGATATAACAACGTTATTTCCCGCGGGGCCAACGCGTTATCCAACTGGTGCGATACTTCTAAGGTCATTATTGCGTTCACACTCCTGACTGGCTATACGAAGAATTGACCTGAAATGGATAGGGATAGTTCTCTACATTTTTTTTACCAATCTCAGGAAAAATCTTTCAGACTTTGAGTTATACTGAGTTACAGTAAATTACCGTCTTGGTTGTTTGAAGCGGGCGTTAGGAATTGTAGGTCACGCCTACAACATGATTCGTAGTGTCATTCGTGGTCGTGCAAGTTCACGATTATTCAGCGTAAGTGGACCTATACTGACTCTTTTCTAAGTATCAGCTTGGATGATTTTTTTGACATTTGACTTAAGGCGTCATTATCTCTTGTCAAGCTTCATACATTGGCGCGTATCGTAGTAGGTATTGCACCTATGTCGCTGATTCTGTAGAACAGTAGTAGCTTGGGGTGTTTTCCAAATTACAGTTCTGTAGACGGCTCGGAGTTTTTTTGGCGGATATGTTCATAGAGTTGGTTATGCCAACACATAGTTGTGTTTGATAAAATTAAGGGCAACAGTAAAGAACAATTGCCACAACCAAATAACCTTGAACTAATCAGTCATATTCTTCTATGTGGAATGTAACATTTTTGGTATAAGAGGTATATTTAGGTAATAGAGACGAATCGCATAGCATATATGTGCCCAATATACAAAAGCGGGTCCCAATTTTTATACGATTAGAAAACTGTCATTTTCTTTTATGTGCCAGTGGGATTTGTATGAGTACCAATTTTAGGATCCATAAATCCTGATGAATAATTGAATTTATAGTTAATATACTCTGATGATGATAGTCAATGCTTAACATTTGAAATGGATGCCGTCGATAACCGTCACTTTTTGATGTGGTTATGTTCTCTGAGCTGGATAGTTAATTTGCGAAGCTTTCATTGCCCTACTAGGCAACATCTTCAGCGCATACTTCAATTCAAAGACTTCAAACTGAAGTATGCGTTGAAGATGTTGCCTAGTAGGGCAATGAAAGCTTCGCAAATTAACTGTCCAACTCGGAGAACACAACCACATCAAAATCATCCACCTGAGCTACAAATCATCTCCATCATATAACCGTCACTGTAACCCGAGTTAAAGGTAGGCTTAGGCCCTAACCCTAAATCAGAGTGAAGTTTACAATGAAGAGTATGAAAAGCATCCTTTTGCAACGTTAAGCGACCTTAATGGCTGCTCTAAGGTCATTTGACTGTGGTGTCTATTCTTTGCCAATTTAAGTTAACCCTGGGTGAATTTCTTAGAGGGTACATTTGTATAAGTTATAAATCATTAAATCCATATGAAGCTCATAGTTCAAATTTAATGAATTTTAATATGTATTACTTCGTATTGAGAGATCAGTATTGCTTGGAATCATTTTTACTAGCGCGCGTTGAGTTTCAATGAGAGTTCGTTGCTTCAATTCATTCATTGTGTGCGGGCTGAGATACTGCCCGGGCGCCCAGACCGAAGCAGGTGGTTTTTATTAAGGAACCACCCCCCGAGCCTTTGACTTGGAGTCTAATCCGCAAGGCAGCGGAGCAGCGTCAGGAGCTGCATTCCCATGGTTGCCGGTGACCCATATGGGTTCATACGCCATTCGATCCATTTGGAAACTGGAGCCCATGTACCCCATAGTAACTGCTTTTAGTTTAACCGCTATCCAGAAAACCTCCCTGACATGGTAGGACCTGTAGGGACAGAGTCCCAGTCAGTTCAGCTTCTTGGGTCATTGCGGTATTTAAGCCCGACCACCACGACAAGGTAGCAGTAATCGGCCGGGATTACTGCTCCCGGCTCACATGTAGGAAAATCGTTGGTTTTCCGTTACTGTTAATTAGTAAGATAGCATATTGATTATTGTTGTTTCAGCGCATATAATAAATACGAATGCCCTTCATCAGCGTGGATGAGATTAGCAAGGAGGCACAAACGCTAATGATCACAGGTGAACTGCCCTATAACTGCTTCCAGAATACAGTGTGAAGGGATTTGGCAGGATTTGTACTTTGATGAATGTTTCTGTAGGAAATAATTCATCGTATTGACTCGTGGTTATTTACTGTTGGGTGTGAGTCAAGAGGCAAATAGGCTCACTTGAACTGTTGAACTTCATATTTCCAAATTGAGTTCTTGCATATTGTCAGGAATCAGATTGATAAATTTTCAAAATCTATGTATTTGATTTAGTTTTCTTGTACAAAGAGGCACATTAAGATTGCAGCCTTTTTCACTCACATTGGTAAAATATAGGATAAAAATCACTCAATTTTTGTTTATTGTTTTAGAACTTATATAGCACTGTAGGTTGTTATGATGCGCTTCTCGTGCGATGAAAAAGTAACAACGAAAAACAGTTATCACACCAACGGATCATGGTAATATGATTTTCAAATAAGCGCAATAACTAAGTGTGACTGTGGCGTGGTATAGGCTGGAGCTTGTCTCCGAATGTTATTGTTTCATGGATATACGTGTAGTTGGAAGGGCTAGTTGTTGTAACTTTTATTGTCGTCTTTAAATTACCTGATAATTCATATTACGAATATCACCTATGTATGTGAAAAACATTTAACACTATTGATGTTATACTTTATCGTGAAGAAAGATACATTGGACACATCTGCCTATATATATGACTTTACTACCAGTAGCTACCGTTAGCATACACCTCGTTTGTATTGATTAAGTCATGTGTAACAATTAAAATTGGTTATCCAGGCCTTAAGTTTGCTTTTACCGATATTTTGCTCCATGAAGTTTCAGTTAATAGAGGTATTACTGTACTACTTTTTCCCCCTAATGTTGGCTAATTTGAAAAATGTGATTTCTCAGAAAACTGTATTTTTGATTGTTTCCTACGTTGTTTTATGTTTTCATTCTATCAGGTATTTGCTAGTAGTCGGGAGTATACTACACGAACACCAGTGAATACAGGAATATTGTTTGTCCCTGAGAAAGAGGCATGGGTTGTTGAAAGACTGGGGAAATTCTACAAAACTCTGAAGCCGGTTAGTATTCAGAGATTCTTTTTCTGACATCTTATTGTAGGGGCTCAATTTTTGTATTCCTATAGTGGATCGCATTGCTTATGTGCAGTCACTGAAGGAAGTTGCCATAGAGATTCCAGACCAGTCAGCAATAACATCAGGTAATCAGAAAGTTAAATTTGGGAATTAATTTATAAACCAGATAAGCGAAAAGTACTCTTTTGTATTAAGTACCTTAGAAGCAAAGCCACATGATAGGGGAGAATCGCAACTGTGGGGAAGGCGCCAAATACATTACGGCAGACTATAAACGTTTAAGTTTACCACGAGTGATTGCTTATTTGAAGTGGATGTTGAGTGAACTGCATGGATTTACTTATTTCTTTTTTGCATTTCACGATATCAACTTCCTTTGTATAGTAATCAGTTGCTCTAAAAATAAACCAAATCTCCTATCACCAAGCATTCTTGTCTTTATTGCCTCACTTTATTAGCGCTTCCTAAACTCCTTTTCCAAAGACTGTTGCTAACTATCATAGAGGGTCTTAATCATTTCTAGTCTCACAAAATCATATTATCAACTTTGGAGTAAATGTTGTCCGGTCGAAACTATTGTATCTCTGACTGGGTGTGTATGTATTGCACTAATCAAACAATGTTTATTCAGGTAGCCTCACCGAACTAATCTGTTCACTCATTACACCTAATTCTAGTTCTGTTTTTAATTTAAAGCAATTATTCACGTAATGGGAAAATAGAGGAATAGAAATGGAGTGTCATTCAATAAGCGCTTGGTCTGTATTTTGTGAGCAACAGACCATATCTATTGTGTAACAGCTAATAATACCAGGTGGCTGCCCAAACCTCAGCAGCTGAGGTGGAGGACCCATAAGTCAGTAGCTGAAAGTCAAATGTGTAGATCAGTGAGTCACAGCTCCGTACAAGTAGATGAATGTAAAACATTTTACAAAAGGACATCATTACAAATGGTTACACTTTGTTACATCCGTAAAGAGATAACTGAGGAGATCTAAATTGGTATTAAAGAAACATGGCGTACTGTACATTGGCTAGTACACTTGTTATGAAAAACCCCTGAATCTTGACTAAAGCTCTTGCTTAATGATATGTAATAGTACCTGAGTGTCTATGTTGACACAATTATTTTAAAAATTTGCGTTCCAGATAACGTTGTTCTCCAGTTGAATGGTGTTCTATTTCTGAAGGTGAAGGATCCCTACTTAGCATCTTATGGTGTGTCGGAGGCTGAATTCGCAATTACCCAGGTACACTTTTTGTTGATTTTTAATCGCTATTGATTTAAATTTATTGTGTTAGTCAAGTCAAGTTACTTGACAACCACTTGCAGTTCTATGCAGTTGGCCATGGGCCACATTCATTGTATGAGGGCTAGTGATACTACCTGGCTGTGCAGTCCTTGGTAGGTGGAATGGGACTTTCAACCTGCTACCCAGTTGTTGAAAGTCGAGCACCCAGACCAGTGAGCCACAGCCCCACAATTTATTATTAATTGACTGACTGACCGACAGACATCAACTTAGGACTGCATAAGAGTTCACCAGTTTAAGTTACCCCAAATCGGATAACCACATGTAAAAGTAGAGAAAAGGAACGTAATGAAGGCGATTGCGTCGGTGGCACAGTGGCAGAATGCTCGCCAACCATGCAAGTTGTCCGGAGTTCGATTTCCGGCCGACGCACTCCTTTACCTCGCTAAGCCAGCAGTAAGACTGGTAAAGAGGGAAGTTTGGACATGAGGCTAACAACCCCATCCTGCAAAAGTAAACACCACTGTTACCGAAACTTCAAAGCTGTATTTTGAAGCCCTATTTTCCACTGGGAACGTAAAGGAATAAAAAAAATAAAAAATGAAGGTGATTATTGAACATTTTCATAATTGGAAGTCATTGTGTTTATCTTTGATCTGTATCACTGACGGCCTCCAACTATTGGTTCTTAGAATTTCGAGGACTCTAAACAAGTACTTTACACCATCCTGTATAGCTCAAATCATTTTAACTAGTATGAGAGTGGTAGTTGGACTGTGAATAGAATATTTTTCTTGCACAGTGTGTCACAGTTTGCTGTATATGGTAGTATGAAAGTTATCTACACAACTTCTTTTTGTCGTCTATGCAGTTCCAGTGCTTTGTATCGCCCCTACCACTGAACCATTCAGATCGTATAAATCCTACATTTTTTGACAAACAGTCATTTAAGTCAAAACAGTTGTTTGATTCCTATCTATGGAGTTATTAAAGCATAAACTATTAGCTGGCATAATAATATTAGATTTGAATGACAATCTAAACAGAAGATCTATCCTTGTTAGTGATGTGATACTGGTAATCTATAAGCTGGTATAAAAAAAATTAAGTCTTTACAATCAACATATTTGACTAACATATGTGTGCGCTGATAACCTATTCTTTGTGGATCATATTTTAATGTTTAAAAACAACGAATATTGCAATTTATGCTTTTATTTGAGCGTTAGGGCTCACTAGGATTTAAGTGTATCTTTCAGTCATTATCAGTCGTTTTCTCTGTATTTAAATAACGTGATGACCAACAACTTCTACGATTGATGTTTGAGTCAGCAATGTTGAACTTCTGTATCAGCAGTTTGACTTGATGAGTATCATCACATACAACAAATTTATCATATACTTACGTCGAATAGAACGGTTTCCCGTCGTTCATGGATTTCAGGGTGTCATTTTGTCGATGAAGCATACGAGCTGTCAATCATCCTTTGTTGTTACATGACGTAAATTCATTTCAAAGCCTAGTATATGTAAGTATTCTGAATTACTGAGTCTTATAACTCTGAGTACGGAGGAATGATTATAACATTTGTCTTGTTATTTGCATCAACCCACATATTGTTTCACTTGCAGTATTTGCCTTTTGTCAGTCATCATAATCAGCGCTAAAACAATATGTATATATATTTTTACTTCCTGAGTTTCAGGCTTCAAGCCTCGATGTTTCAGTAGCCATGGTTTTGTTTTAACGGGGTGGGTTGCTAGCTTCATGCCCAATCTTCCCTCTTTTTTTCTGGGCTTACTGTCGGTCAGTAGAATAGGCGAGGTTTAGAAATGCGTCGGTTGGGAGTCGAACGCTGGGCCATTTATGTGGTTAGCGAGCATTCTACCACCGAACCACTGACCCACTGACAGACCCACTGAACAACATAAGGTTGTGTGTATATCATAACTCACTTTACTGTAATTTGATAGATGAATATCTATCGCTTCTTTTTGTTTTATTTTGTACTGTTACTTTGTTCAAATATCTTTCGCTATTTTTATCCCTGACAATAATTCTTCTAGTTAGCACAAACAATAATGCGATCAGAAATTGGTAAAATTATTCTGGACAATGTCTTCAGAGAACGAGAAGCATTAAACATGCAAATTGTACAAGCTTTAGGCAAAGCATCTGAACCATGGGGGATTGAATGTTTACGTTATGAAATTCGTAAGTTAAGAAAAAATAAAATACCCTTCATTGTGGATAATATTTCTAGGTGATGTTCAAGTACCACAGAAGATTAAAGAAGCTATGCAAATGCAAGTTGAAGCTGAAAGAAAGAAACGTGCATCTATTTTGGAATCAGAAGGTCAACGTGAATCTGCTATCAATCGTGCTGAAGGTCTTAAACGTAGTCAGGTATTAGAGTCAGAAGGTCGTCGAATAGAGATTGTAAATAGAGCTGAAGGTAAATATTTCCAACACTCTGTGTGATACTTTTTTCCCCTAAAGAATTTAAACACAAGGGAAAATTAAATTCATAATTACAGGATTTTAGAAAGCAAGAGTAAAGTTAACGAATAAGTGTAGATATCCATGACTAGATGATAAAACAAACTGGGGAGTGAAAAGGTAGGCATACGTGAGATTGATGAGAAGACACTGAAAAGGTTTGAACTTTGCGAATGATTTGTGTATTATACCACACAAACGTGAAGATCTACAGACGCAAAACCAATGGCTTGACCGAAGAAGCAGCGAAGACAAGATTTAAAGTGAACGTAGAGAAGACAGATGTGAGAGAGAAATCTGAAGGAAATCATCTCGTTCACTCACCACCTGGGCAGCATCGTCTCAACCACAGGTGACACGGATGAGGATGTAGAAATTAAAGATGGACCTTCACTAATCTGAAATTAGTATGGAAATCTACTGTAATCAGCATAAGGAACGAAATTCGGGTTATCAACACTATTGTCAAATCAGTCATTGCTTCTATATGGATAAGAGAATTGGCATATGCGTTACCGAGAGGTTTTCCGACAAACTTCTGCAAACTTTCTTTAACGCCTGCCCTTTTCGTGCTATACTGAAGATAAGATGGTCAGAAAGGATTGGCTTCAAAGAACTCTGGCAACAAAACTCCCAAGAACTTGTTGTTCAACAAATATGCCGACGGAAATCGAGATGAATTGGACATACTCAGGAGAGATCGTTGAGTGAAATCACGTGCCAGGCTATCGAGCGGAACCTGATTGGGAATCGGAGAGTTAAATGAGTGTTCGAGGATGTATAGTTAAGTATAATAAGATGAACAATATTGAGGTTAGGCGTCTAGTAGTGCTAGGTAAGGAGGGGGAAATTAGTGAACGAAGTTGTTAGGTCATGTGCTACGCATGCCTAGCCATCACCTTCCTTGACAGGCAGTTTTAGATAAAATAGGGTCAGGTTGAAAAAGAGCTAGTGGTGGTCAAACCAAAACATGGCTTCATCAGTCAATGAAATCCACAAAAGTTTGTTTGAGCCAGTCAGCCACATAGAGAGGTGTAGACTGCTGTCTGGTTGGGGTCGTCGGGGTGGAGACAATTGGTGATATGGCTCAAAATCGTTCTCAATGGCTGGCGCAGATGTATCCACTCCTTGTGATTTATAATGTCTAATAAAATTCTCTTGTTCTGACATGTTACTGTTGTTTTTGCCTCAAATTTCTATTTATTATCTCTTTTGAATCTCTGTTGTTCACTATCTTCTCTTGCTTTGTGTACTACATGGAGGTAGTGTGGTAACTCGAACTACTGCATGTCTGTGCCAAGTTCTACACTGAGACCAATCAGTCAGTCAGTCTGAGGATGACATGGAAAATATCGGGTGAGAAGGAAATGAAGGCTTGTAGGTGTGGGTGTAGCCAGCCAGCTGAAGACGACTGTAGGGAACAGGGTGAAATGGTGATGTGCAGCTGAATCTGTGTATTCCCGTCGGAACCCAAGGGAATAATAGTGATAAAATATCTATGCACATATATCTCTTACGAGAGAAAGCCATTCGCAAGTTACCAGGAAAGCACACTGTATTGGATGATCTTAGTAGATTTTTCTGAGGAATTTTCGCACCATTGTTATCTTTGGGATGAAGGTTCTTCAGGAAAAGTTTTTTCACTATATTATATGTATTTGCTCAGTGGTGTTCTGCAGCTCTGATTTACTGTCTATAAATAAATGCAGGTGTATACTATTTTGATTATACTTATCCAAAGATTCTGTAGTTACCATCAATAGTCTCCTGAGTTCTGTTATCTTTCGAACATCTTTGATGGAATTGTATAGATAAGATTCCTCTTCTTATGTCTGAACAAATAACATCGTCGTAAAGGAAAAGAGTTTCTGTCTTTTCATTAGTTAGTTAGATAGTTGGTTCTAATTCCCAAGAGGCTTTAACTGATTGGTTGGCTGGCTGAGTTTCAACGTAGAACTTAGCACATAAATGCAGTGGTTCAAGTGTTCACACTACATGTAGTCAGGAGTTTGTAAATCCTAATTTTTTGCCTGTCAGTGTTCTTAGGCAAATTAACTGATCATTGTTAAAATAACTCAATATTGGTGTCTTTAGTTTAACTGATGATGGAGAACTTTCTAATGAGATTATCATGGATGGTGATAGTGTGAAACGTCCACGATGAAATGTCACAGCTGAAAGAACATCATAAGCAATATTTATCTTCAGTCCGATCTATAAATCTCCAGTGTTATCATCAATAATAATGACTCATTCATTCTTTGCGTTGCATGTGGATCAAAGAGATTCAGCACTAGGTTCTCTGCCATCAGTTTCAAATGGCTCGTTGACTAGCCACAAACCTTCATCTCATCTTCACATAATCTTCTTCATATCACTGTCGGATCCACGCCCAACTCATCCATTCCCACTTGGATGCCACTTGACGGTCTCCTTAGTTCATGTCCTATCCATCTCCTTTTCTTTCTGCGTATTTACTGGTTCTTAGTCGGTTCACTGCACTGTCAGAGTTCCTTGTTGCTTACTCTTTCAGGCCGGCCATCTGATCTTCAGTAGTCAGCCAATGAAGGCAGACATTGATGACAGTTTGCAACATATTGCAGACGATTTTGACTCAGTGTATATTAATTATTTGAAAATTCGAATCTTGTTCCTTGTACCTTATGCTATAGGTGTCCACATTAATATCAGAGTAATAAAGCCTTGTCTTACTTTTCGGATCCTGGCTAACCTTTACTTCTTCATTCGTGCCACTGCCTGGTGGTGGGTAGCAGAGGCGACTATTTTCAGATTTTTCCTTTTGATGGCTGTTGGTGTTAGATGTTGGTTGGATGTCTTCACCTCAGTCTTCTCTGAGGTCGGGTGTTCACTACTCACTCTGCTACCAATTACTTCTATCACTTTTATTTTGCCATAAATTAGTTTTAATCCTTCTCTTAATGTTTCTTTCAATAATTTTTTTAGGTGAAGCTGAGGCTATGCAACGTCTTGCTGAAGCTCGAGCTATATCTATTCAAACTGTCGCGTGTGCTATTGCTGGCAAGGTACGTTAACTCTATGTAGTTAGTGCATAATACAACTCATTGGGGCATTTGTTTTTGTTGTGGGGTATCAGTAACTCACCTGGAACAGATTTTTCATGTACCAGGTTATGAGCCGCACATAATGTGTGATAGCTGATGGTACTGCCCAGTTGCGCATGCTAAAGTGGTTAGGAGGGGACAACAAATGTGGTTCATACTTATATCGTAAACTACAAATGTATTTTATTTTGTGGAAATTCGCTTTTGATTACTTGTTATCTCATATGATTTCACTACTGAATAATTTCATCATTGATGTCTAGATTTATTTTATCCCTTCACATTCTCAGTGGAGCATAGGCCTGTAAGCTTGAGCTTTGAAGTTCCAGTAGCGGTAAATTTATTTTCATGCGGTGGCGTTGCTAGCCTCACACCCAAGCTTCCCTCCTTACTGGGCTTAATACTGACTAAGTGAGTTTTTAGGAGTGCGTCAGCCCGGAATCGAACCCCGGACCACTTGCATGGTGGGCTAACATTCCACAACTGAACCATTGGCACACACATCTAGGATAGTTAACGCGAATTTAAGAGGATTCATCATCAGTATATTAAAAAAAAGTAAAATGCAATGAAATGGCAAAGTCCTTGTGCGTATAGAAGGGATCAACTATGAATGATACGCAGTTTAACAGCTGAGCTTCTGCTATTATGATACCGGTTTTCCTACTTCCGATTAGCGGTGGATTCTACGACGCTTTCTACGATGAATGAATGAAAGCTAACAACGAATGCTGTAAAACTCAAGTTTCACAATTGTGAAGTTACATTTGATAAGAACCGTTTTTACGAGAATTACATGGATTTGAATTCTACTGCAGTATTCAACCTCCACAAATATATTGATTTTTGATGTATTGGTTTTCGTAAATGAGAGGAGTGTATTATTCCTCTAAGTAGTAACTTCTTGAAAGCTTTATGTGTTTATGGAAGTGTGTCGACGGTCTCTGCTTCCTGTCTGTAGTAGATTTCCTCTTGGAATACCTAAAATAGAAGAACCATTAGTATCGGGTGACTGCAAAACGCAGGGACAACTGCTTGAGGCTATTCACATACACCCTTCTTGGTGTAATTTTTGAAGATTTACATCCAGCTAGAGACCACCGCAAGGTAACTGGCGATGTAGAAATTTTCGGGTCCACCTTTCCTAAGCCCACTTCTACAAAGCGGTATAGACAGTCTAAGTTGTATGTGCAATTTTTGAATAGGATGGAACAGTACACCGTTATCGAATTTCACTTTTAACTAATAATATTCAAAATTGTTTACTGGATTTTGTTTTAGCGTGGAGCGGATGCTGTACAACTTGCCGTAGCTGAACAGTATATAAATGCTTTCAATTCCTTGGCTAAAACAACCAATACAGTGTTATTACCATCAAATAGTGGTGATGTTGCATCTATGGTTACACAAGTGAGTTTAATAGTTTCTAAATGGTATTCTCGTCTTTTTTCTTTTTTTCTCAAGTACTTTTCTACATCAAATCACACAGGTTGTTATCTCATTCTTTTTCAACCAGTGAACTACAGTAAATAAATGTACAAGGTTGTACACTATTGCAAGGGTGTTATCAGAATATACGGATAGAGTATGGACCCACCTTATTTTCTACTTTTTTTAAACTCTAATCTTTACTCCTCTTATGCGAGTAAAACTTCGCAAGTAACTGTAATACCTCAGTAGTAACGTTTTCGGTTTTAGAACTAATTGGGTGTGATGTGAGTTTAAATCTCTGAGTGGGCATCAGTACCATCAAAGTTGGAGATACACCTTTTCCGATGAGTGTTGATAAACACGAAACTTATTGATTGCTTGGAACTATCTAGTATGAACTTAAAGTGCTCCACGATGAGAATCCGGTCACCAGGAAAGATTTTTCAGTGTGGTTAATCACTGATAGTGTTAAGACATTTTAACTAAACACGTGTGGTTTTTTGTCTCTCTTAACATCAATAGATATGTAAGCAAAAAGGTTCTATCTAATTTCAGTATACTTGTGTGTTATTGTATGCTTTACCTTCACAATAGGTTATTTGACTAGGAAAATTACGGTTGATTTAATCGATTACTGAGGTAGCAGCATTGTTGACATGCTGGTCAGCTGAGGAGAGCACCTTACTGCCGTTACATCCTTATTCCCCAGTAGCAGGACATTATCCACCTACTCTCAGCATAATGTAAATGCTCTACACTATTATGGTAATTTCTTTTAGTCTAACTGCTATCTAACCAGGCTTTTGACATGATGATAGGACCTGTAGGAACTTTAATTCCAGCCAGTATGGCTTATTGGGTCGTTGTTGTATGCAATGCCGACCAACGACGTCAAGCTAGCAGGTATCATCCATCGGGTCACAATCCTTTACGATGGATGTACGATCGTATATTTTCATTTTTAGTTTCGTAAAACTCCTATATGCATAAAACCGAACTTCTCATTTTATTCGTGTACCATAGTGAATTTGTATGTTTGTCTACGCGATTTGTTAAATAGACCACCCTATCTATTGTACTGTTGTGTAATTCTCACTTTTTTCTTTTCAAAATGGTTTTTTTTTCAGGCGTTATCAATATTCAAGAGTTTAGACAAATCAGGATCACCAGGATCTACCAGTGATGGCCATGATGATGATGGTGGTGGAGATAACAACAAGCCGCCCACACCAAAAACTGACAACACTTGTGATATGGAATCACAGGGTGGTACACGACCTATTACTTGTCGATTTCCATCAAGGAATAGATCAAACAAACCGTCAACTCATTCAGAGACTGATGTCAATACTGCTACCGGTGCTTCTGCTTCTGCTGCTGCTACTGCTTTAGCTGGTGATTATAGTGTCGGGAATGATCATAGTCGACAAGCAGACGACTATGAAGAAGTACATACCAGTAGAAAATATATCAATAGGAATTAAAACAAGCATAATCCCAATAATAATGACCAATAATAATCACACTATTTGATCCTTATTGTTTTTGCAGTTGATGATTGAAAAGAAAGATGACTGTTCTGTAAAGTCGGTGGTGTTAAATGATATTTCAGTTGTGTAATATAAAAATTCCTGTTACTTATACATACATGCACATATATACCTGCATATATTCCTGTTTTTAGTTCCTCTTATGTAATCCCTGTGTGCGTGTATGTGCGGAAACGATGCAACCGAGATTGTGTCATCTGTGTATATCATCTCTTCTTAAAGAGTATGTGATGAAATACAATTTATTTATTTATTTTCTTCGTTTCTTTTTAACTAAAAAAAGAGGCATGAATTAATTTCTTATTGTGGCGAGTGCTACTGATAAGATATATCAGTAGTATATAAAGAGACTTTAATAGGCAAATAATACAGCGTTTGGTGGAGATACATGGGAGACGTGAAAGGAACATGAAGAAACACAACTTGGAGTTCAGAAGTACTACCGTAACAACAGAAGACAAGGGCCAGGCAATAGGTCGTTTATTAAGGAAAATCAACACATATTTATAGATTTTAATGTACATTATTGTAGATTATTGTTAGTAGAAGATGCAGTCTTTTGATTGGTTGTTTCTCACAGAAAGTTAACCTTGCATCTCTTTGTGTCTGTGTCAGATCATCCATATTGTTAACTGTATCCGCCTACGCAGAGCCTTTGTTCTCATTTTCTCACCACCAATTTTGGGGACATAGACATTGACGTCAATTACTGTCTACCAACTTTGGCTAGCAGCCAGCTCTCACCACACTACAGCATGAAGATCTCTGTGCAAAGCGTGTGTTGTAGATAAGATATACATACTCATTTCCAAATAAACATTCCTTTACCAAGTTTTTCATCTTCTGCCGTTTCATTATTATCACTGTTATTAATGTAGTGTTAGAAGTGAATGCCAGTGTCTTCTAAAGTTGTTTTTTTATTTTGATAAGCATGTTGCAGTTTTCAGTGTCGTTATTGTTATTATTATTACTATTATTATTCATTCTCTTGCCTTCTGAGTGGAACATAGGGCTTCAACAACACATTTCCACTTTGTTCTGTTTTTTATCGTCCTCTTTAGCTGGGTCGACGGTTGACCAAACTCTCTCATCTCTTCCTCACAAGATCTCCTCCATATCACCTTCGCACCGACCACCCACTCGGCGCTTCCCATTTGGATTTCACTCAAGGAACTGGAGTGCGATGTCATTCGGCGGCCTCCTCAATATATGCCCGATCCACCTCCACTTTCTCTGACATATTTGTTGAGCGATCGGCTCTCGCCTGTTGATTTGTTCCCAGTCAAAGTTTCTTGTCGCTAATTGTTTCTGGCCATTTGATCTTCAGTAGGGAGCCAGCGAAGGCAGCTGTTGAGGAAAGTCTGCAACCTGTTTGAAATCCTTTTCGTAACACTCAATGCAAGTTTCTGACCCGTATAGAAGAGCCGACTGGACATTGGTGTTGAAAATCCGAATCTTGTTCCTTATGCTGAGTGCGGAAGATTTCCAAACTGGATTCAGGTCGATGAAGGCATATCTTGCCTTTCCGATCCATGCTGGTTTTGACATATTCGTCCATTCCACCTATAGTTGAAACGATGCTGCACAACTAGATAAGTGAAGGAGAAAACCTCTGTTAAATCTCTCCCGTTGATGGTGATTGGTGCTGGTTGTTGTTGCTGTTGCGGTTCGTTGGTTATCTTCATCACCTCCGTCTTCTCCATGTTCATCTGCAGTCCTGTCTTCGCTGCTGGCCTCTTCAGCCAGTTTGTTGGTTTTTGCTTGCAAGTCTTCGAGTTTGTGTGACATTAGACATAAATCATCTGCGGCATCCAGATCTTTTAGAGTCTTCCTATCAGTGGTCCAGCGTATTCCTGTCTCCTCGCTCCCAGTGTGCAGTCTGGCGCATAATCCAGTCCACCACAATTAAGAATATCATCGGTGATAATAGGCAGCCAGCCTTGTCTTACTCCTGTATTCACTTCGAACGCCTCGCTGAGTTTTCCGTTGTGGCATTGTCACAGAGCTGTTGAATGAAGTTGACAAAGACTTGAGGTACGCTGTAGTGTTGAAGTATTTTCCAAATTACTTCTCGGTCAACGCTTTCTGTCAAAGGCCTTTTGGAAATTGGTAAAGTTGAGGTAGAAATTTGACTGCCATTCTACATCCTTTTAGATGACGATGCATAGAGTTGCAACTTGAACAGCACATGGTTCGTCTTTCCTCAATCCAGCTTGTTCCTGGGGGCAAAGTTTTGTCTCCAGTGCATCCTTTATTCTCTCCAGGATGATGCGACTTAGTATGTTGCTTGGCGTGGACAAGAGCATTATTCCACACCAGTCATTTCTTGCAGAGGTCGGCCTTCTTTGTCAATTTGATGAGGTAGCCCTTCTTCCAATCAGTAGGCGCCTTTCCTTCTTTTCAAACTTATACAATGATGGAGTGAGAACATCTGCCGTAATCTGTGGGGCCATCTTCAGTGCTTGGGGAGGAATGCCGTCTAGTCCTGCTGCCTTCCCGGCCGGTATTCAGTAGCTTGATTGCATTGAGGATTTCTTTTTTCGTTGGAGGAGTGGTGTCCACTGGCATTCCCGTGTGTGCTATTGGTGGTATTTTTATGCGAGTTGCCGGCGGTGGTCGATTTAAGAGTCCTTTAAAGTGATCAGCTCATTGTTTGATTTGTTTCACCTCCTTGGTGATCAGGTTCCCTTGAGCATCTATTATTGGTCTCATCAGTGTCATTAGTGAATCTTTCCTCTCATCGGCTTAAACACTTGACTTTCAGGTAATGGATTTTAGGTTTGAATTCTGCTTCATCTATTTCAGCTTGGACAACTGAATCAGAAAATGTGTGATCGATATTCTAATGCGGAAAAGATCTGTCCAGGGTTGTTGACTTCAGACACATTTGTCAGTAATCGTTAACGCAATCATTGCCGTACTTATATCCTATAGTCATGGTTTTTTAGTTTTATCGAGCGGAGTGATTCAACACAAGTTGGGGGAGGGGAGGGAATTTTACAAACAGTTTTTATAGTATTTTGAAGGATTTATTACTAATCTGAAAGAACAAAGTATATCCGGGTAGGAAGACCATATGTATTATTGATATAAAAGGATAAGACTTGGGCACTTTGGTAAAATATAATTCCATTATGGATAAAATTTTTATTTTGATAAATCACACAGTGTTATACAGTAATATTTACTGATGACCACGTTTCTAGCACAAATTATTGCCACTCATAATCACATCAAGTCACTCACACAACTCTCTTGCTTCATTTATTTACATGAGTTGAATTGATTAGACATTTGAATAAGAATCAATATGGGATAATGTACATTCAGAAATAATATTAGTGTTGTCAATAAAATGCAATCAGATGGGAAATAAGGTGTTTTTATAATAAAAATATGTAACCTGTTAGAATCTTATAATGTGAATTGAATACATTTTAACATTATTTATCATCCTCCCCTGATTTGACTGGTGGTAATAATATCTTCCATATCTCTAGTATTTACATTGAGTCACTACTGTTGTATGTGTTGTGTGTAGACTGGATGAACCAGAATTCAGTAATCAATGTCCCTCTCCACCTACCTAGATTGCTTCTTAGAATGTTATCCTCTCCCACCCCATTGCATGTAGTGCAATCGCTGAGCTTTTTTCTAAACTACTCATCCTCGTGGGGTAAGTCATTTTAACCTTAGCTAAATTCTTATGTTCCGACAATTGGACTACTCCCGAACTTCTAGTTTGACCTATGTAGTTGACCTAACTCATACTCATTGCTAAGTATTTTGTAAATTGCATTATTTTGTTTCATTGGATCCACCGGGTCCTTCAACCTACAGAGCTTGTTCTACCTGAGTGAGTTTGTAGGTTTGAATGCCACCCCAATTCCTACTTTATTAAGAATCCTACTAAGTGGGGTCTCAGATGTCCCCTCCTTATATGGTAAAACTACTGTAGATGCCTTATATTCTTTCTTATTTATGTTATCGTTATTAGTGCCTTGATATGATTATGAGTGGCCATAAATTGTGCTCGAGGTGTGGTCATCAGTAAATATTACTGTATAACAACACTGTGTGATTTTATCAAAATATAAAATTTTTTATCCATAATGGGAAATATATCCCCTTTGAAATTCTGGCTCTCTATGTATATATAGTTCAGCACTGTAATATGTATATATATATATTGCCGCTAATGTATTGTACGAAAGTACAATAGTTCAAGTTGTCACTTTGAAAAAGCATACCTAAAAGTAGAAAAAGGAGAAAGGAAACTATAGTCGATTGGAAATGTAGTAGTTAATGAATGTTTACAGGGCGAATTTCGAGGATTTAATAAGATCTGGGAGGTTGTAATAATTGAATAATGAATAGATGCAATTTAATAGCTTACTTAGCCCAGGAATGAACTTAATGACGCATCACATTTTTCGAATGTGTTATGCATTTTGGTGTGTCAATGCTGGCTAGATATAGATGGCTTCCATTTTGTTCACAATAAGTCAAAAATGATATATATTGTTTTTGTCAAAAATCCTATTTCCCTTTCGGCTAGATAAAAGCTATTTTCCACTATTCATGCTGAAGCTACCTCAGATTTCTGAGGAAAAAAAGTAAACTATCAAAAGGGAAATTATTAAGAAACTGAACAACGTAATCCCATATATTAGATGAGTATTTGACATAACTGCTGACAACGTAACTCGGTTGACAAATCGACTGATTGGTCTTTAACATAAAGGTCACTACTGTTAGATAACAATTTTAAAATGCAGTCTTCTGAACACCTTGAGCAGCAATCTTCGTATGTTTGGCATGCGATTCGCCCCTGTAAAATGTAAGATGCTGCTACAGGACTGGACTACGTCAACTCCTAGCTTAGTGATAGGGAGTGAAGTGATAGAACATGTTGACCACTTCACCTATTTGGGAAGTTGTATCAGCACCAACGGATTGATTGGTGACGAAATCTCAGCACGGATCCAAAAAGCTCGGGCTGCTTTCGCTAACTTACACCGTCTCTGGCGTAGGCGTGACATCCGGCTGTCAACCAAGGGACGTGTGTACTGCTCAGAAGTTCGCTCCGTCCTTCTCTATGGCTCTGAAACATGACCAGTACGAGTTGAAGACATGAAAAGGTTGTCTGTTTTCGACCACAGATGTTTACGATCTCTTTCTCACGTTAGGTGGTATAATAAAGTAAGTAATGTTGACGTTAAGCGTAGTGTTGGGCAAAGGGAAAATCAATCAAAGAG